ACATAGTGCTCTTATATTCAGAAAATAAGGCAAATTACATTCTTGGAACCACGACCTTGAAGTATTTTAAATATCTTTTGGTTTCATATTGAAATTGAGCCTGGAACTTACGTTGTCTAGGGATTATATTTTTATTCCCTTTTTACTCTAGTTGAATTCATTGTTATTTTTAAGTTTCTTGTGCTGTCAGCTTTATATTCTCCCATTGCCCATTTAGAACCTGTCTGTGACTTGTGTAGTTTTGATCCCTAAATATTTGGTCATAGCTATAAGTTTATTTAAATATGTCACCTATTTCAGTGGACATGTAGAGGCTGCTGTAAAGAGCTATAAGCAGGCATTGATTTTACGTCCTGACTTCCCTGAAGCAACTTGCAATCTCCTACATACACTTCAGGTTTTGTTCATTTATTATTACAGTATTCGTTATTTTAAGCAAATTTGTTAGAGTACCTTTTGATGTTGGGTAGGTCATTTAGTTGGAATGAATATAAGTATTGTCTGTTGTATCTTACATGATTGGACTGTATCATACTTTTGGTTTTGAGTACTCTTCTCAGTGGAGTTGATTTGATTTAAATGATGCACTATATGCTGTAATGCACTAATGTTCTTTCTTATTGTCATTTACTTCTGTCTTTAGCATTGCTTGTGATATCACTCTGCCCTTTCCCACAGCAAGGCACTTTTCACAATGCCTGCTAAGTTCATAAGCACTTGTTGGCAGTAGTATTAAGTTTTTCAGTGTAGTATGTAATTTAATTTGGCATCAATCAGTATAATTTTTTGTCATATTGCAGTGTGTCTGCTGTTGGGAGGATCGTGATAAAATGTTCAAGGAAGTTGAAGGGATAATCAGGAGGCAGATTAATGTCAGGAGCAGTCAATACTCTGTTTTACTTATCTTCTATTAATATAATGATATGATACAAGAATACTTATTTGAAGTATCCTTCAAGCATTATTCTTTCTGCTTTTCAGATGTCTGTTCTTCCTAGTGTCCAGCCTTTCCATGCAATAGCATATCCGCTTGACCCAATGCTTGCTCTGGAAATTAGGTATTAATATGCTGTTCACTGGAGGCATAACCAATTCAAAAATATTAAATGCAATATATAGTATATTCATTGTATATGTTATGTCCTTCCCGTTCTCACTTTGCAGCCGAAAATATGCTGCACACTGCTCTGTAATTGCATCTCGTTTTGCTCTTCCTGCATTCAACCATCCTGCTCCTATTCCAGTCAAGGGGGATGGTGGATACGAAAGACTAAGGGTTGGGTACGTCATCATTATGAGCTAACCTTTCTGTTCTATCTGTGTACCAAATGTTTTTTTTTTTGTTTTTTTGTTTTAAATACGGTAAACACATGAGTTGCAGGTATGTGAGTAGTGACTTTGGTAATCATCCCTTGTCACATCTCATGGGATCCGTTTTTGGTATGCACAACCGGAAGAATGTGGAGGTATTTAATGTGGTTTTATTCAACCTATTTGTCTTTCAAATATTATTTCTTCTGTTCTCAATGTATTATCTATCTCTATATATATAGGTATTCTGCTATGCCTTGAGTGCAAATGATAGTACTGAATGGAGGCAACGCATTCAGTCTGAAGCGGAGCACTTTGTGGATGTATCTGCCATGTCATCTGATTCAATAGCAAAAATGATCAACGAGGATAAAATACATATCCTTGTCAACCTCAATGGTTATACAAAGGTAGGGAGTAATTATTCTATGATTTTTTTAAGTATTTAAAGTAGGATTTCTTTTAGAAATGTTGGCTTTTATTTTACTTTTTTACTATAAAGTGCTGTGACTGACCTTTTTCCCCTGCTGGGCTGTTATTGGATCCTGGCCTTGCTCGATGTTATTCTCTTCATTATCAGGGTGCCAGAAATGAGATATTTGCTATGCAACCTGCACCAATTCAAGTTTCATATATGGGATTCCCTGGAACAACTGGTGCTACTTACATAGATTACTTAGTCACTGATGAGGTGAGAAACTTGATAAAAAGGAGATGATGATTTTTTATCAATGCGTTCATATGACATGCATCCTTATTTCTTATTAATTTTATTTGCAGTTTGTTTCTCCACTACGATATGCACACATTTATTCTGAGAAGATTGTCCATCTCCCCCATTGCTATTTTGTAAATGACTATAAACAGGTTATTTTTATGATCATTTAATGTAGAACTTTGATTTAATGTAATTGTGTATTCGTATACATAGCATTGAGTGTCTTTGTCCTTCATGTTTTGTTTGTTCAGAAAAATCAGGATGTGTTAGATCCAAACTGCCCGCACAAACGATCAGATTATGGTCTACCAGAGGACAAATTTATATTCGCATGCTTCAATCAACTTTACAAGATGGATCCTGAAATATTTAATACATGGTAATGTCAGGATGCTGTTTATATAAAATATAATACCCCTCTTGTATTCCATTCATGGCATCTTATTATTTACATGTTTGACACTGCTTGTATTATTTTAGGTGCAATATTCTTAAACGGGTACCCAACAGTGCCCTCTGGCTCCTGAAATTTCCTGCAACTGGAGAAATGAGACTGAGAGCATGTATGTGTTGTGGTTTGATTATACCTTGTGGAACTATGATCGGTTAACATTTGAATAGGCGGAGATCTTTTCAAGTTTTTGTTATCCTATATGCATTATAGGTTTTTTCTAATTTATGGGCCCCACTTTCAGATGCTGCTGCTCAAGGGGTACAGCCAGATCAAATTATATTCACGGATGTTGCAATGAAGAATGAACACATCAGACGGAGTTCTTTAGCAGATTTATTCCTTGACACGTAATTACTGTCTCGGATTCTTGTGTCTAGCTTCATTTTCCTGTTCGCAGCCCTTCCTGTTCTACTTGCAGTTGTTTGCTAATTCTTCGTCCTATATGTGTGAACTGTTCTTCTCTCTTAGGCCTTTATGCAACGCCCATACGACAGGAACGGATATCCTATGGGCTGGTTTGCCGATGGTTACTCTGCCTCTTGAAAAAATGGCTACTAGGGTTGCTGGGTCACTTTGCCTTGCCACTGGACTGGGGGAGGAGATGATTGTGAGCAGGTTAGCACTTCCAAGTTTGTTTTTGGTTCAGTGTGCTCTTGCCAGACTTCCCTAGCTTTTCAAATGATTAGATAGTGCCAATGTGGTTATGCTCTTGACAATTATATTTTTTAACTTGCTGTTTTCCAACTTTTTGGAACTGTGAATAGCATGAAAGAGTATGAAGAAAGAGCAGTATCATTGGCTCTGAATCGGCCGAAGCTTCAAGCTCTCACTTCTAAGCTTAAATCTGTACGGATGACTTGCCCTCTATTTGACACAGCCCGCTGGGTGAGTGGAGATGATATTGACTCTACAATCTATATCGTCTTTTTTATTTTATTTTTATTTTTCTTCCCTACATTTCTTTAAGTTGATCTCGACTGTTACAGGTGAGGAATCTTGAGAGATCATATTTTAAAATGTGGAATCTGCATTGCTCTGGTCAACGCCCACAGCATTTCAAGGTCACTGAAAATGATCTCGAATGCCCTTATGACAGATAGGCATAGGAATTAGACGGGAATGTAGATAAGAAAATTTAAGAGAAAGTCGTATAGTAGCTACCCACCCAATCATTGATGATGTATTATTACATTGTATTAGTAAAAGGGAAATTTGTGACATACTACTTAATGTTGGGGGATTACCTTTTTAGCAGTAAGAGTTTAAGAGAGTAAAACAATGTGACTGGTTTTTATTTATAACAAATGTTTGCCTTTGGAGTTCTGCCTTCTGTATCTATATCTCTGGGTCAGTACATATTCTTATGATGAGTTTGGTCGACGAAAATTTGGTATGGAATTTCATTTCCTAATGAAATAAAACAAGTTTTGAATCTTGAAAATTCCTAGAATTTTTAAAGTAAAATGAAGGAATTTTAATATTCAATGAAATTATTTTATCGGAAAAGTGCGCTAGGGTTTCATCAAAGTGCGTGATGGTGATGGAATAGAGCACTGGCTCTATGGATTTAAAAAATCAAAACGAAATCTGTCCAATGAAATCTATATATACTTGAAAGCACGAGTCGTATTATCCAATCGTCAGTTCAAAACCGTCCAAATTATAACTTTTTCAATATTTTCTCACTTGCAAATGTTGGTTAAACTGTAGAAAACCCATTCCACTGTACCACTACAGGTTGAGCTCTCCATTGTTCTAAAATGTTATTCACGAATAACACCACTGAGTAGTATATGGGGTGTATCACTGATGTTTTTTATAATCTCTAAGGAGTTAATTTGTCATCTTGCTTAGAAATTTCAGGTGAACATCTTTATATTTGTTAGTGCAAACATAGTAAGCAATCTAAAAACTGAATTGGTTACTGATCTTTGGACTTTACATAGTACTAATCATATTTAAATATCTCATCACTTAAAATCCTAAAATCGATTTGAAGCTGATGATGTCCAAGGGATGCAAAAACCAATTAATAAACGAAAATCTTCATAGAGGAATATACTGCAGAATCAGTTCCATAGTTCAATGGAAAAAAAATGTGAATAATACATGCTTCCCCTTTTATAAATAAACTTTATTGAATTAATTATATTAGACTATCAAATTAAAGTTGAATTGATTTCCTTTATGGTCTACAACTCAACAAAAGAGTTTAATTGGTAGAAGGTATACGAATTAAATTTTTTACTCTTGTTTCTTTTTTTTAACTGGACAGTATCAAATATTGATAATATATATATATATATATATCAGATATTTTAAAGACATGTGATATCGTCTTCTGTTAGACTTGCAATATTGATATATTAAGGTTCAAATCAGCACAAAAACAACTGTGTTACATGCGCTTTATTTAATGTTGTAGTTGCTTGAGAGACTATTGCATGAAGATGCGACATTTAGAAAATCATTTATCCAACGTATAAGATGATACGGTATATGTTTTATGTTCCCACTCTAGCTATTGTTGTACCAGAATTGCTTCTGAAGGTAGTCGATAATGTTTTTGTCAACTTGAAAAGCTTTAGCCAGAACTTCATCAGAGATAGGAGGTTTAGATCCAAACACAGCATTTGCAATCGTGATAACACCCGGGTTTTGGCTACTAAGAGCAGCAATGGCCACAGCATTTCCATATCCTACGTTTTGCTGGAAGTGAATGAGACCAATGGGGAACACAAACACATCACCTTTGTTCAACACTTTGGTGAATAAACGGTTGTCGTTTTGGTTGGACGCCACAAACCCAACGTAGAGGGTACCTTCCAAGACCACAAGAATCTCTGTTCCTCGAGGGTGAGTGTGGGGAGGGTTCAAACCCTTGGGTGCAAAATCTATGCGAGCCAACGATATGCCAAGCGTGTTCAGACCTAATATTTCATTTACAGCCACTGGTGTCACCTTTGAGCCTAGTGGGTTCCCAGTGTCACCAGGTCCCAATCCACGAAAGAAGAAATCGTCAGCATTAGCAAGCTTTGGATCCTTGCAAAATTTTCCATTCACGAACACTGCACATTAAAAACCAAACCACTCATTAAGAAACCTATATATACATATATATGCAGATTATTCTTGACACAATATTCATGTGTGTGTATATATATATATATATATATACCGCCATATATACCACCAGTTTTGGTATCATTGATAGCCACACAAAAGTCTTGCAGAGGACTTGGATCATAAGCAAAGGCAACGGAGGATGCCAAAGCCAACATCACTACGAGGAGGTGAACAACCTTCATTTTTGTTATCACAGCAACTAACTTGTAAGTTTGTAATAAGAGAGAGTGTTTGAGACTTGATTTTTCAGCATGGGAAGCTATCTATTTATAGGATGAGGCCATTGATATTCTTTTCACCAATTCTAGGATTAGTTAACTATTTGATGGTTGAAGCATTCTTAATGACTACTTTGTCAGATAATTTAATGACTACTTTGTCAGATAATCTTAGATTAGGTCCGGAGCAAAAAAGAGAAAAATAATAGATTAATATGCTCCTCCACATCAACGTCATGAAGAATTTTTCAGTATATTGCCTCGTACAAATTACCCACTACCTGTGCTTGAATATTAGTTTTCTAATGGGAGCTGGTGAATTAGAGACGCAGAGTTGTTAGTTTTGAGACCCGGCGGCTAAATTTTTCTGAGCATTTCTAGAAACCAGAACTAGTGCTACACCTCATTGGTTTTATTTTTTTTTTGGGCCAAAGTCTCTAATTGGTCCTTCATGTTACACCTTAGATATCGTCTAGTAAGTGGAGGATAATGGAAATTTTTTTAAAGCAAAATTTTCATCATATTTATCTTGTCACGAAGTCTTATCTTTATCCGTGAAGTAACTAGTAAGTTGCTTCCTTGATTTGTTAATTTTCTTACACCACCGAAGGATTCAAACGCGCCACAGTGTTTGAAGATGACTCACACACACAAGTGACGTAAATGAATGGTTCCTACTTCCTTCCCAAGAAAGATATCATATTTTGTAGAAAGAGTTAATTATATTACCATACATTTTTTTGTTTCTGCAAACAATTATTATATATCTATGTGTCTCCCTTTTTCTTTACTTCTGTTCCAATCTATTTACTTTTTTCTACCTATACACCCGAGAAAAATGAAGAGCTTGGAGTTCACATTATAATGAATAGGATTTTTTCAGAAAAGAAGAGTTGTTATGAAGCAGGTAATTAAGAAGTTTCATGACAATGACTTAATGCTTTTGAATGAGTTAGTTTTATCTTTATCTTTATCCTTTTGGACAAACATGCGCACTCTTCATATCTTAACCAGTCCACAATAAGAACTGCGGATCAGTATGTTATAGTTGATAGTAATGACACACTTGTTCAGTCTGTTATTTGGTAATTGAAATTCAAGGCAAATGTTTGCCTTATCTTCTAAAGTATTTTATGTGCACTAAATAACTTACTAATAATAATATAATTCTTAACACATGGGATAATTGTCTTTATAAAAAAATTAAAATGAAGATAATGGGGGTAATGATGTGGCATGGGTAGTGTGGCAATGACGATTCCAAATAACTGTACTTATAGCCATGAAGAGATAAGTGCTATTGGGCCACATGTGTGAATGCGGGCTAGTGCTTTTTATGAGTATTGATAATACTCACACAGCACTACATTGGGCTCGTTGAATACAACGGGCCATAGTTCAAAACAAAAAGCCCTGGTCCTTTACACTCACACCTGCACACTCACTGGGATTTAAAAATTTCAAGTTCCGATTTCCAGTCTCTGGAATGAGATCGTGAAAGTGAAGATAGTTTTGCAGAAGAACATCGATGAATCCATCGTATCCTAGCTCTGATCTTTCTTCAACTCTTTCATCCCTCAAAAACCTAATTGCTCTCTCAAATCATGTTCTCTCTGTCACACCATCACCACCAACCCTAAACGCGAACCTAATACAATGCCCTTTCAATCCACACCACCTTATTCACCCTCATTCCCTCTTCCTTCACCACCTTCGTTGCCCTTCCTCTCCGCGCCCTCTTCCCGATCTCACTCACTCTCTCACTTACCCCCAAACCCTCCACAACTCTCCCTCTGATCAACTCTCTTTCTATCTCCACTCCCTCTCCAACTTCTTCTACCGTGATTGCCCGGCCGTCGTTTCTTTTTCCCATGCGGACTCCCTCACCAGAACAGCCACCCTCACGCTTCCCGCCTTTTTATCTATCGAATGCGCCGACACAGATACCCACTCCAACCTCGAGCGACTGTCTCACCACGCGCCCATTCTCCCCTCTCAGTACTTCTCTATCGCTCGTGAACTCCAGTCCTGGCATGATTTTCCAACCACCTTCTCCAACTTCGTTCGTCGTGCCATTTTAGGTCTCGGAATTGCCAACGACCGTGACTTGATGGATTGGATAATAGCGAATTCGCCTCGTTACGGCGTTGTTGTTGACACCTCTATGCAACAGCATATGTTTCTGTTATGCTGCCCGTGTCTCATGTCGATTATAAGAGAAGCTTCCGTTTCCATGGAAAACAAAAATTCGCATGTAAGTTGCCCCGTTTCGAACCAGGCTTTGACGTGGCTAGCGTATCAGGTTTCGATCCTTTACGGGGCTGCAAACGGAAAGGCTTTTGTTCTTAATTTCGTGAAGAAATGTATCACGGTTGGTGCGTCTGTTTTGCTGTTGTTTCCTTTAGGGAACGAAGCTGCTTCAATGCATGAGTCTCATAATTTAGATACAGGGAGTGGGAACATTAAGGTGGCAAAATCTGCCGCTCCAGGTGGAGAAAAGAAAAATTGCATACTGGATAGAAAGATTTCTGTGTGCCAAGTTGCAGCGGCTGTTGCGGCATTGCATGAACGATCTTTGCTTGAACAGAAAATTAAGGGATTTTGGCAGCAGCCAAGTAACTATCAGCTGTATGTTATATTTACCCTTCAAAATCTGTGTATTTTTTCTGTCACAAATGTTTTATTTGGTGTGAAACCTATTAAGTATGACTACTGTCTTTTGTTTTGTCTTTGATCATTTACAATAAAATAATTGGGGATTATGTGAGCTTAATCTGAATATATGGAGCTTTATTTCTCTAGGGTTGCTGAACATTCTTATTTGTCCGAGAAAGCAAATGAAGAGCGGACAAAACGTCCAGATTATAGACCTATAATTGATCATGATGGTATTCATAGGCCTCAATTATCTAACCAGGTACTGATAATCTTGGATAATTTTCAGCAGAACAAGTTCTGTTCTGGTGTTGCGTTTCTTTAGTTTGCCTTAATAGGCAGCTTTTATTCCTTTGTTCACTTTGTTTAGCACTTACGGGACTAGTTTCCTTATACGTTATATTAGGAGAGGTTGGGTTTTTAGATGAATCTCGGTCACGGAATATCCTAAGTTCACCCGACAAAGAAATAAACTGTTCAATCCACATTTATCTATTTTTCTTACTTGTTTTGATTTTGATAGCATGAGAGCAAGTTGTTATAAATTTGTGCCTTAGTTACTGTTGTGTGGACTGATTGTTTGAGGAAACATTTTCTATTTGTTCACTGTTTTGTATTATCAAAACTTTAGGTAGAAAATAGTGAAAACAGAAAACATTAATAAAACGTTGTTTTAATTGTTTCCTATATTAAAATAAACTTAACAGGAAAGAAATGAAAATAAGGTGGCAATTAAACACCTGTAGATACAGCCCCCTAACACATTCCGGCCACGGGAAAGTGAATATTATATTTTCTTCCGTTGTAGCTGTTATTAAAACATGTTTTCTACTGCTATCAATTGTAGGAATCATCTAGAGAAAAGACACGAGAGGAGTTGCTAGCTGAAGAAAGGGATTACAAACGTCGAAGAATGTCTTATCGTGGCAAGAAGACAAATCAATCACCTTTACAGGTTAGAAGTACTGCACAAGTTATTGAAATTTTTACTTGTATTGTTGAATCATAGTAATTTCATGTATGGTCATGGTTTGATTTGCCAGATGCTCCTTTTCTGTATTAAAGCTGAATAATCTTGAGTGGCACTGTCGTATCAGAGTTGGTGCATACTATTTTTGACTTATATGTCTTATAATACTATTTAAGAAGAAATTGTTTTAATAGAGATTTTTCAAATTTTTAAATTTAATTTCTTAATTTTAGATAATTTAGATTTAATTTTAAATTTCTTCTGGAAGGTGATGAGGTACATGATAGAGGATTTCATGGAGCAAATCAAGCAGGCTGAGGGTTTTGAGAGCCCTTTGAAGATGTCTGAAGAGAGTGGATTGTTTCCATTTAAGCCTCCTGGCCATGACATTTCTATGGAAGCTAATAATTCAAGAAAAGCTAGTCATGACTCACCTGCAGTGACAACCAGCAAACCACATTATTGTGAGCAACAATCACACTCTAACTGTTGTGATGAAAGCAAAAATTTGGATGGTGCATTTTCTAGAGATTACAAACAACTCAAACATGAGCGTCAACGGAGCCATTATTACCGAGAAGATCAGTGGAATGCTGATCGGGGAAAATATCATAGAAACCGGTCTTCTACAAGCCCTGTAAGACACTCAAGTCATAGTCAATCACGGGAGCATAGTAGCCATCATATCAAACAGGATTACTACTCAAATAGAAAGAAGCATGATAACTCATCTAGATTCAGGGATAGGTTGCAGAATGACACTCACGGGAGTCATATTTCAGATTCTTTCCCAAATAAGACATTTTCAGATCGATATGACCCTTCTGAATCTCTTGATATATGTGATGATGACATATCCTCTGATGCCAAATATATCAAGTCCGACAAAGTTTACAATAAAGAACAATTTTAGGATTGGCTTGGTCAGAACCGTGATGACACTACATCTGTAGTGGCCTGTGGGTAAGAAATGCTACTTATATGTCCTATTTAGATGCTATATTTATATAATTTTCAATGTGAATATCTACTTTAACGTTGTTTCTTTGCATAACTTTGCAGTAATAACTTACCAAGCTTCAGCAATTTTGTCAATGTATCCTCCTTTGTATCCTTGATTGTGAAAGCACATTTAATTAAGCAAGCTTTCCTTGGACTGATTTATTGTTGTTGGTGGCTATTATTATTATTCTTATTTATTGTGTTTTGTTTTTCCTCAAATTATGTTGTCAACACATTAGAATTTATTACATAACTAGATTCTTTTAGTTTTCTCTCATGATTGTTTTACTAAACTTAAGATAACTACGTACTTTTTTAATGCATTGTATTGTGTGTGTGTGGCTGTGTCAGTGTTAGTTTTTTTAATGCATTGTATTGTGTGTGTGTGTGTGGCTATGTGTTAGTGCTAGGAAATAAAACAGTTTGTATAATTCTTTACTTAGGATTTTCAATCATTTAATTACGACTACTAAAGCAATTATATATTTTATAATGTGTAATAGAGGAATCTGAAATTTTATCTTCTCTTTTTGGGGTATATGATCGTTTTATCATTTTTTGTGCTAACTAAGGAGTGATTGGAGTTGGATCTGTCTGAACTCGAAGTATTTTTGGTTTTCAACAACTTCCCTGTTGTTTTCTCTCCCCATCACATGCTCCTAACCTTAGCTTAGAATATGCCAAGGTTGGTCAAGCTTGTCATTATTGAGCTTTATATTTATTGTGAGAAATTTGTTGAATATAGCATTATTTAGATCGAAATGCCTTTGTCTCGGCTAATTTCTCGTGCTTTGATTTCAGACGGCTAAAAGCACCAGAATGTTTCACTTTCTTCCTGAATTCCCCCAAACTCTTCAATGGGCCACACAGGTTTCAGACGGCTATGTTCGTGTGTCTGCGTCAATGTTTGCACGTGTCCAGATATCAGAAGGAAATAATATAAAGAATGAGGGAGGGTGAGGGAAACAAATATGGCTACAAAGTCGAGATTTATATGCCATTGTTGCTTTCATCTTACTGTAAATGACAACTATCTCTATTCCGTCTGTTTACACAAATTATTGTTGCAGAGAAGGCACCTTATATATGTCAAAAGATGGATTGTGAATTGTATTTTCCCAAATTTAAATTTTAAGAACATCTTTGGTTGTATGATTTTATTTGTCCATGTGTCTACTACTTTCAAACAATTTTGGACGTTTTGGCTGCTTGGTACTAGAGAATAATCATTGGAAATTTCGTCTTTCAATTCGTAACAGTAAACTTCAAGCTGTGTTGAGGCTTTTATATAATGACACTAGTATAAGAATTATCCTTTGATACATCTGCTGAATATAGCACCATTCATGTGGGAGAAATAATCAAATTGGGACCTTTTCTTCCTGTAGTAGAGGGAAAATAGCATAAGCATATGGTAACTTGTCTGGTATAAATCAATTTCTATATAATAAATGTATGAATTTATATTATATTCTCTCTCTTACACACACACACACACGTAATAAGAATAATTGTTTAAAACTTTTTCATGAACTTTAAAAATATTTGTAATGATATTTTTTTTGGTTAAAACTGACATAATTATTAGATTAGGAAAATCATGTCGTATATTTAATATAAGAATGTAAAATATGTGATGAAAATTGAATAAGATATAACTTTCTAATTTATGATATATGATGCAATTATTTTTAATTAATAATTGAGTTAATAAATGTGTAAAAAACAATGCAAAATCCAAGATTAATTTTTGTTATTCAATAGGTAGAAACTTATTTTCAAAATCATAAGAGTAGATATCGTCCAAAACTTTTAAGTATATAAGAAATACAGAAAATATTCATAAACCAAATATTAACATTAAAAAATTATTTAAGATAAGTTGTCAAATGGTACAGTAAATCCCATATAAAATTTTCCATAAAAAATTGATATAAGAAGAAAATGTATTTATTTTTTCCTAAAATACATTTACTTTTATATAATGAAATCAGAAACATGTTTAAAACAGTAAAGGATAAAAAGTCAAAATTATTTATAACGTTTTTTTTTCTTTTCAACGTGAACATCACATTTGTTTTTTTATTATAAAACCATAAACATTGTCCGAAAAAAAAAAAACATAAAGCGGCAGTTTTTAATTATATTTTGTAAGATATATATAAGAGCAGTGATAGATATATACATGTACAACTGCTTTTTAACCAAACTTCTATTCTACACTTCTATTTAATAATAAAACACTACTAATTATTAAAATTTTAATTATTATATTGAAATTGGTTGTCCACTTTTAATATATTGGTTGAATGGAAAGTGCACGGCCCATGGACACGTGAACTTCACAGATACAGACTCAAACCGACACGTCCTCGTTGGGTGGCTTTAAAAGACTCTCTTCCTGCGTTGTGCGGCACACATCACTGCTCCTTCTAATTCTGTTATCAAGATTCTGTCATCGTAGCAATTGAAGACAAGGAAAGGAAATCTTGTTCTGCAATGGCAACCACCGCCGAGAATGAAGTATCTGCACTGAAACAGAAGTTGCAGGATTTGGTTAAGAGTATCGTGGACAATGATGATTACCCCGTTCAAGCCGCCAACGAGGCTATCCATGCTCTTTCTACCCTCAAGGATTTGAAATGCATCGCTGCTCTCTCAACCAACTTGGATGATAAGCGTTTTCCTTCACACTTTCGATGCCCTCTCTCCAACCGCTTGATGACAGATCCTGTTATATTGACCACTGAACAGGTTTTTCTCTTTCTCTTTTCTTTTAATCAAGATCCATTAATTCTTTCTTGACTACCTGACCATTGCAACATAAACTGTGATCGGACCGTATCAAGAACCTGTTTGATACTAGAAAGAAAGAAAAGAAGAAATATAAATGTAATGTATATCAAAGAAAGGTGTTAAAGAATTGTTTATATGAAAATTGAGTATTAAGTTCTGCTCTTTTAACATGATAATATAGCAATAATAGTTATTTTTTTAATAGAATTGGTATTCTTGAGCTTTTATTTGGACTCTTTGCTGCTTAATTGTTTGGTGAATGAAGATTGATTGACACGATGGCAGGAAGAAAAAGTGGTAATGCTATATGGTCCTCATTGTATATATGTACTAGTGAATTAATGTATTGATGAACGACGATGGTGCATGCAGACTTTTGATCGTCCATTCATCCAGAAGTGGCTGGATCAGGTCCACGGAATGTGCCCTATGACCCACCAAGTCCTCTCTCACGCTATTCTTACTCCTAATTTCTCGCTCCAAAGCATGATTTCAAACTGGTGCAAAATGAGCGGAGTTGATATTCCGAAGTCCATTTTTGACATTCACGACGAACAAGTAACCGAGGCACACAGACACCGTCTCCTTTCGTTGCTCGTCAAGCTGTCACTGTCGGTTTCAGAACAGAAAGAAGCTGCAAAAGAGCTTCGCCAGTTAGCAGAACAGATGTCCGGAATTCGATCACTCTTTGGGAACTCACAAATGATTGAGCTATTGACCCGTCCTTTATCATCCGGCACAGCTTCTGTGGATACCGATCTTCAAGAGGATTTGATAGCAACTCTTTTAAATCTCACAATTAACGATGTCAACAAGAGGGTGTTTGTAGAAAACGAAAACGTCCTCACCGTTCTCATTGATTCATTGAAATCCGGAACAGTTGAAACAAGAAGCAATGCAGCTGCAGCTTTTTCCTCATTGTCATCTCTTGCTTCAAACAAGCCCATAATTGGAAAATCTGGGGCTATAAAATACTTGGTGGATTTACTAGAGGAGGGAGACCCATTAGCCATGAAAGATGCTGGTTCAGCCTTGTTCAAACTATGTTTTTCGCGTGAAAATATAGCGAGGACCGTACGAGAAGGGGCAGTGCAGGTTATTCTTAACAAGATCGTTGACCATGTTCTTGTTGATGAGTTGTTGTCACTGTTGGCACTTCTGGGTACACATGCTAAGGCCGTTGAAGAGTTGGTGAGTCACGGTGGTGTCCGTTTCTTGCTTGATATCTTGAGGGAGAACACAGGGGAACGCACCAAGGAAAACATTGCTATTCTTCTAGATCTAATCTGTCACAAGTACCAAGAAAAAAGAGAGGAGATTAAAGAGGAAGAAATGGCCCATGGCACATTCTCTGAGCTTGCACAAAACGGGTCCCCATGGGCTAAAAGGAAAGCTAGCTCCATCCTTTATTGTCTTGGCATACATGATCCCTCCACTTTCCAATACACTCAAGTTTTGTGACTTTCGTCTTCACCAAACTTTAATTCTCGATCACCTTTTGTACGTGAAAGAAAACTTGTTTGAGATTACGCGTTACCACCAAGCCACATGAATGATTTGTTTCATATTCTTTTCTCCCTTTTCAAACATGCTTTCGTCTCTGTCAACTTTTACATCCAACATCTCTTAGTTGGAGATAACTAATTTCTATGGCTCCCATTTGTACGGTGGTGTATTGCAGTGTATTTTTGGAAGAGAAATGATATGCATACAACGATACCACTACTTTTCACAACTATTCTACTCTATTTAATAATAATATAATAATAACTATTACTAAAATTTTAATTTTTTTATTGGTATAATATTAAAATTAAATGTTGAATTGATGTTGGATGGAATATTGTTGTCAAAATAATTTTTTTTCTAAGTGTGTGAAACACACATTTAAATCTTAATCTTATAATAAGAAAAAAATGCTTTTATTAAAAATCCTTTGAAGTGCCTATCAGTCATAAAAAAATTGCATTTCATTCAATCTCCACAACTAAAAGAATTTCTTGCGCAGAAAAAAACATACAATTAATACACGATGAACTGATAGCGTCATTACTATTGGTGTCTTAAGGCATGAATTGATTAAAGTTGAAAAGTGATATTTTAATCACAAGATTATTAAATTATAATTATTTTAAAAACAATTTATCGAAATAGAATACGATTAACATAAAATATGTATATTTAAGTCATTTTAACTTTAATTCTTAATTAAGTTTAAACTCTTATTATATATTTTAAATGACACATAGTATTAAAAATTAAAATAAATAGCATACTTAATGTAATAATTAGAATAAATAATATATTATTAATATGATATAGAGATGGCACAAGACTATTATTTCTGATGGAAAAAAAGTTTTTGGTTCGTATACTTTTTCATTGTTTTTATCTTATATTTTTAAATTGAGTATTATTTTTTTACTTATATAAACATATCCTTAGTGTTGGGCTAAATGAAGAATATGTTGATTTTTAGTATTAATTTTTTTTTTTTTATGTTGCTATGTTGTGAAGACTTTTAAAAGGTAGAAGAATGTTAAATTATTGAACAATAGAAATATGCAATTTTATTTAATTTATTTTTGTTTCCAAATTAAATAAATTCAAATGATAGAATATTTTGGCTTGATCTTGTACATATAGATGTAATTAATTATTTTCATCACAGACCCAAAAACACTTGAAGTACATTGAGATAACGAAGACTCTCCATAATTAAATGCACAAAGGGCATGCACTATAAAACATGCACTACACTTAAAAACCATAAAACTAATTAACAATAAAACTTGAAATGAATTATTGCATTACTAAATTTTGCACTAATAATTTATCTTTTTTGAGTATTAATATTTGTAAAAATTTAATACTTATAAATTATTTTTATCAAAATTAAAAAGTTTAGAATATATATATATATATATATATATATATATATATATATATATATATATTTCTTGCTACTTTTTTGCCAAAGAAAAATTGTTTGTAAATGATGGGGACATGATCATATTACAAATTAAATTTTGGAAGAAAAATTGTTTGTAAATGATGGGGACATGATCATAGACAAGGACAATGATTCACTTGAAGGACTTTGAGGACTTATGACAAAGGTTAGAGAAGTGAAGCAAAGGAAATTATTCAATAAGTGTTGTTCATATTATTTGAACATAAACCCACATTTCAAGGAGAAAAAATCAAAGTTATGAATTGTATCATGACACAAATGGAGGAAGACTACTTTGTTACATTCTTTTGTTTAACTAACGATCAAATCCTTTGTAAAATTGGCTAATCAATTATTTTTTGGGTTAATCAATTAATGAGTTTTAGTTTGAATTTGTTTACCCACTACAAGAAATTTTAATATTACCGACGGTCAAAATCCGTCGGCAATAACAAAAATTCGTCGGTAATATCCATTTACCGACGGATTTTCAACGGCAAAAAATCCGTCGGAAATTTGGTTGTCGGTAAATATTACCGACGGATTTAATAGTCCGTCGGTAATTACCGACAGATATATCCGTTGCTAAATGTTTTACGAAATTATCGACGGACGAGAATCTGTCGGTAATATTTTTATTACTTATTAAATATTTTACTTATATAAAACCCCTTCCCTTTATATTTTTATTATTAATTATTTTTCCCTATTACATTTTTATAAGCTTCAATTATTATCAGATTACTAGAATTTTTTGATAATAATTTACAAATAAATTATATTTATATATTTATATAAATATATTTTTATATTTTTATATTTTATATATTTATATATTTATATATTTATATATTTATATATTTATATATTTATATATTTATATATTTATATATTTATATATTTATATATTTATATATTTATATATTTATATATTTATATATTTATATATTTATATATTTATATATTTATATATTTATATATTTATATATTTATATATTTATATATTTATATATTTATATATTTATATATTTTTATATTTATATATTTATATCTTTATATATTTATATATATTTATATTTTTATATATTTATATATTTATATTTTATATATTTATATTTTATATATTTTTATATATATTTATATTTTATATATTTATATATTTTTATATATATTTATATATATATATATATTTTTTATATATTTATATATTTATATATAATTAAATATTTTTCTATATTTTTATATAATTAAATATTTTTTTTTAAATTATTTAATTTAAGAAATTATTATAAATTAATCTAATTATGATTAAATTAAATTAAATTATTAAATAAAAAATATTTAATTTTTTAATTAGTTGAATATTTACTAATTGTTAATTTATCGACGGAAATATCCGTCGGTAATTTACAGATGGATTTACCGACGAATATATCTGTCGGTAAATTCATCTATAAATTACAGACGAATTTATCGATGGATATATCCGATCGGTAACTAATTATTATTTTACCGACGGATATATCCGTCGGTAAGATCAAATTTCACAAATATTTTATATCCGTCGGTAATAATTATTTTCCGATCGGTTACAAATCCGTCGGTAATACGCGATTTTCTTGTAGTGACCGTTGTAATAAGGGTCCAATTGGATTTTTTTTTGACCTTTGGTTGTCACAGTTTTAGTTACAATCAACCATTAAATTGTTTTCAATTTCTAGATTAATGGATCATTATTAACATTTATTTGTCTCCATTAAATAGTTTTTAATTTCTAGATTAATGAATCATTATTAACATTTATTTTGTCTTTATTGAATATATGTAACGGAAAACTTTTATATAAGCAAAACTATTCTTATAAAAAAAACAAGTTGAGTTTTATTTAAAAATATTAGAGATTAACTCTTTTATATTGGTAAGAATGATTCTCTTAAGTTCTTGAGTGATTCAAGAATCTTTGGTTATATTAAAGGACTTTTTCATCCTTTATGAGTTGTTTTCTTTGGGAAGAGTGATTTTTTCCTTCGACCTTTCACATTCACCTTTTGTCTTTTCTTCACCAGAACCCAAAAAAAACTCAATTCAGCCCAAATTTATTTTGTGGTCATAACTTTCATTCTACTAGTCCAAATTGAGTGTTTTTTTAGCATAAATTGAAATTCAGAATGAGAACTTTCACCTTATTTTTTAATCACTTTAATTGGAGTTTTATAGCTCAAGATATCGATGTTTATAAAATTTTGTCCAACCCTAAATTTTCATCATTTCTAAATCCATTTTTTCTCTAATTTTTAAACTTCTTAAAAGATTTTAACTCTAAAGATCTTAAGTCAGTCCTTATGCAAATAAGCTTGTAAATATAAATTTGTAAAACGTTATTTACAAAATTTAAATTTTGAGTTTCCTGTATTTTTTATTTTTTTTACGAACCTTTCGTGTCAATTTTTTTTTTCGAAATTGTTTTGTAGAAAAAAAATGTTTACATAAAACATTGTTTAAGAAATATTTCTGCAAATTTATTTTAAGAAAATTTCCTACAATTTTTTTTTAGAATTTCATATTTTTAGGTAATTAATTATTCAAAAGATATTGCCTGGAATAAAAATTAAAAAAATCTAAATAAAAATGCAATTTTTATAAAAGTTTTACAGAAAAAAAAATCTCATGAAATATAAAAAATTTTAGTTGTACTAGAGATACCATTGATATAGGGATCATGACCATAATTTTAGGAGAGAACAAATTATCTACTTGACTAAATATAGAAAGTAAACGTGGAAAATTTAAAGCTCAAATACTTAGCAAAAATCTCTACAAATACCCTAGCAAGTGAGTGAATAATCTATGAATTGGAACATGACATCGATACCTTTAATCCGATATTGAATTGTGTGTTTTAGCATCCTACCACATAGGAGTTCGTGAGTGTTAGCTAGTAATTTTGGAGATGACAGAAGTGGAAAAAGGGACCAACTTTAACATTGCATGACTCTCTACATAGGAAGAATTTTGGAATATAACTTTTCCCCGCAATGGCCCAGTCATCAGATTTATGTAAGCCATTGCCCCGTAATTGTTTAAAGACCAATCCATTTTAAATGAGCTTGTGTTGCACCTTCTTCAACCCCAACAACTTGTAATCTTGAGGTCATTTTCTTATAACATGGCACCAGATTCAAGAGTTTTCCATTTTCTAACCTAAACCATCAATAATATGACTTGGTCATGTGCTAGCGTGTTGGATTTTGTTAATTAGAGTTTATAATATGCACGAAAGTAAAATTATTGAATGTTTCTGAAGCTTCATTATCTTTGTGCAACAAGTATTTTCAGATATATGATAAAATTGGCTTTTACAATCACTAGAAAAATTATACTTGTGTTTGATGATGTCTTGTGATGATATGAATACGTTTTGGTGTTTGAAATAATGCATAAATGTATGTGTTTTGTTGATTTAGAATGTTGGATAGACTTGTAATTAGCACATTTGCATGAATAGGGT